AATTTTATGCTTTTGCAAATGCGATAAGAATGTGCGACGCTATTTTGAAACCGTACGATATAAACATCATGAACATTTTGACAAAGAAACACGAAAAAGTGTGCGAAAGCGTTTTATACACATTTGTCGGTATTATCGCTGTCCAGGTAAAATATTTTTTTTATATGATACGTGTATATATAAATATAATAAAATATATAAAATTATTTTAATAATATATAATATCAAAAAAATTTTTTTTTATGTTAATGCAAATAGAATTTTTAAAAACGGTATAATGATAAAATTATCTATTAATAACTTTGTAGATCGGTTTAGTAGATCTTCTGACATCTTTAGAGATTACTCCGGATTACGTGATTAGTCATTCTGGTGGTGAACTCGGTTGTGCGTATGCTGATAAATGTTTCACTATTGAACAAACTATTTTATCGGCATACTTTATCGGTCTGGCCTACATCGAAGGAAATATTATCCATAACTCTATGACAGTTGTCGATCTGGATTACGAATGTCTCAAAAATATATGTCCAGAAGATATTGAAATAGTGTGCTACAACAGTCCAAACAACAATGTTGTAACAGGGCCGGTTGAATCCATGCAAGTATTCGTGCAAAAACTACAGGTACATTGATCCTCTGAAGATACTTGTCTTCTTTGAGAATATCGAACTCTAAGCTTCTATTTGTATACTTGTCTGCTTGCAATAATATTCTATCTTTGTTTTTCAGATTAATAACATCAACGTGAAAGAAATCTCCTGCGATATTCCATATCACATTCATTATCTCGCATCCTTGGAAACTCGGCTTTTATTCAACTTGAACGAAGTAATATCACAGCCGAAAAAACGGAGTCCAAGATGGATCAGCACCTCTGTACCTTGCGTCGAATGGTCCAATGCGAAATCGAAATTATCTTCAGCAAACTATCACACGCGTAGTATATTAAACACCGTTCTCTTTGAACAAGCAATGCGTTTAATTCCGAATAATACCGTGGTTATAGAAATCGCATCGAACGACGTTTTGCAGCATATTTTGAAGGAATCACTACATCCAAAAGTAACAACCATTGCATTGACTCAGCGCACTGAACAAAATATCACCGATATAATTTTGCGAGGCATTGGAAAGCTCTACAATTGCGGCTTACAACCGCAGATCGCTAATTTATATCCGCCAGTTAGCCGAGGCACTCCTATGATATCTCCATCTATCAGGTATACAATATTACAATATCATAGTCGATCTCTAAATGTTACTAATATAAATAAGCATATAACATATAAGCAAACGTTTTAATGACGTATTATAGATGGAATCATTCTGAAGATTGGTATGTGCCAAGCTATCAATCACAGAAGAATATCAAATACGGTGAAAGACTCGTCGAAATCGCACTTGATGATGAGACCTATAGTTATATGGCCGGATACGTAATCGACAAAAAAAATTTGCTACCAACCACAGGATATCTTGCGCTCGTTTGGGAAACTATTGGCATAATGAAAGGGGAAATGTACACAACTATGCCGATAGTATTTCAAGATATAAGCTTCATTCGTGCTACTCATTTGTCGGATAACGCTGCAAAATTGACGATCACGATACAGAAAGGTGTTTATGACATTATATAATAATAAATATAATTATTTCTAAAGGAGTAATTTTAAAATAAATGATCTCGTATTTATGTGTGCACAATATTGAATATAAAAATATTACAGATAGTGGAAAGTTTGAAGTGATCGAAGGAGATAGCCTTGTGATAATTGGTACAATGTATATCGTATCAAATCCAGGACAAGAGATGATTCCGACCGATTTATTACCGGAGGATGACGACGAAGAAGAAGATATGACTACTCGAGACGTCTATAAAGAACTGAAACTGCGTGGTTATGAGTACAGCGGTTGCTTTTGTGGACTAAAAAGCGCATCTATTTCAGGCAACAAAGGACACATCGTTTGGACAAATAATTGGGTGACATTTATGGAAACCATGCTACAGCTGCATATTCTTGGATACAATACTAGAGATTTATATGTTCCTATAAGTATTCAAAAATTGGTGATTGATCCTGCGCTTCACACATCAAAGCTGCGGGACATATTGAATGACAAGGATAAACGTATGTTCTTGTATCAATAATTGAAAATTAAATAAATACTGAAAGAATTATATTTTACTTTTTGCATTAATACCATGTAAGAAAACTTTTGTAGCAAAATAGCTATTTTTGTTGTCTCGTTACAGAATTACCAGTACGCATATACAGAGAAATAGACGCGATTATATCTGGCGGAATAGAGATTCGGGGTGCTAAGACTACCGTGATTTCTCGCCGAAAACTAATTCAAGATCCTGTTAACGAGGAATACATATTTGTAGCTCATCACGATCGTGCTAAGATTTCTTTGGATGAAGCAATTCGAATATCGGCGCAACTCGTGTTGGAAGATCATCAGATTATCAAAATAAAAGCTATTGAGCTAGTGGAAAATACTGATAATGTAACATTGGAAAATTTATCATCTTTGTCATTGATTAAAACTTTAAACAATATGCCGTTAATACAAACAAATATTACATTAATAACATCACCGAATCGCTTCAATTCAATAGAATTGCCGGAAAACATTACAATTGCAGCTTTAAACAAGTTATCTACAAATGATAAAATCTTAATAGCTTTTGGATTCAATCTTTTGACGAAACCAAAAAACTGGTTAGAACGACTTTTGCCATTCGTAATGGAAGGTGGTTATCTATTGTTGCGCGAGAGATGCAATATAACTGATTACAAAAAACACTTGCGGCAATATAAATTAAATGTCATTCTTGAAAAGCGTACCGATACGGAAGTAATTTTGCTTCTAAAGAAAAAAGTTCCGGTAAAGAGAATGGCCGTTGTCCATATAAGTAATAACGACTTTAATTGGCTCGAACACCTAAAGTTGCTTATGAACAATGAGAATCAACTTGACAAAGACAATAGAATCATAATTGTTGGAGAGAGAGACTTTGAGAGCGGTTTGCTGGATTTCATTAACTGCTTGAGAAAGGAGTCAGGCGGCGAGTTTGTCAGAGGTGTACTTGTTCAAGACCAGAAGGCTCCTAAATTCTCTCTACAAGATCCTTTTTATATGCAACAATTGCAAAAAGGCATGACTATTAATGTTTTGCGGTCTAATAAGATCTGGGGATCTTATAGGCATTTGAGATTACCGCCTCTAGAAACTGAACCTGTATCCACCGGCTACGTCTGTCAAATGGTATGTACAAATCTTTGCAAAGATTTAAACGGTGTATCTAGAGATGTAAAAAAAAACGTTTTTCTTTAACAGAAAATAAGCATTTAAAAAATTTAAAGAACATATTTTTATATTGAGAAAAAATTTTTGTTTTTTTTTAAATTATTTTTTAATGTATAATATTAATTTTCTTTATATTTTTTGTTAATAGAATAAAAAACTAAAGTTCTTATATTTTTAATTTATTTTTTTTCGAAAATAATTTTAATGAATTAATGAGACTTTTTACCTTAAAAAAACATTTTGTTTTTCTGTTTCTTTTTTTTTTACATCTCAACGTGTATCACAATACTATTGATGTGTGTACGCGCGATAATAATTCTATTTTTGTATTTTGTGATATATAACTTTGTTATTTGAAGTTTTGCTATATACTGGGTGTCCCAAACCACCCGTACCACTCATTTAAAAACTAGAAAAGTGGTTATTTTGAAATAGAAAAACTATCTATTTTATAAATCGGGTACGCTCTATCAAATGATGATATTTGCAACTTCCGGTTCCGGCCGGAAATGAGCGATTAAGACCGGAAATGATTTTTTTTTAATGGAACATGGTATTTTTATTACAGATTCTTGTAGCTTATCTCGAGAGCTTTTCAAAACACTATAATGAAGTATTTTTTCATTAAGTACTTTTTGAGTTATTTTATATTTTAATCTGACATATTTTGATATAAAAAATAAAATATCTCGTAAAATATTTAGTTTTCGATAATCTTACCGTAACACCCTGTATATACAGGGTGTCTCACAACCTCCGTACAATACTTTATTAGCGTGTTCTAGAGATAAAATAGAGTCAAAAATTCGAATACAAAAGTTTTGAGGCTGCAATTGTTTTTGAGTTATAAGCGGTCAAAGTTTGCCAATGATATCGCGTAAAACTCGCGTGCTCAGGCCCGTAATTACACTTACACGCGTACCGATCTGTCATCTGTTATTGATTTTTTCAAATCAGGTGATATTGATTTTTACTGCACAGCTGATTTTATTTCCTCGTTTTCTATGTATTACGCTGTGTATCTTACGCCTACGTCGTACATTATGGCTAATAGCTCATATAGCTCAGTTAGCAGTAGTTTATAAACAGTAATGTACATAAATTTGTATTTCTATAATAATCTCGACGTTTGAATATAAAAATATTTTTTAGACAATCTTAAAGATTCAAGAGGAAGATAAACCTCTGAGTGAGCTTATTGTCGCACATCGCCGTTACTACTGTCTTAGTGACAAAATCTATATTATCTTAGGAGGCCTGGGTGGAATCGGTTTGGAGTTAACTGACTGGCTAATACAACGAGGTGCCAAGAACGTCGTGCTAATTTCGCGAATTGGAATAAAAAATGTTTATCAGCGCAGGAAAGTTCAATTGTGGAAGTCGTACGGTATAAATGTGCTCATCATCAAAAATATCGATATCACCGACAGCAATGATTGCAAACGTCTTCTCCAAATTGCGGAAAAGATATCACCGGTAGACGCGATATTTAATCTAGCTATGGTGTTGGAGGATCACGTCGTGAAGAATCATACTGCGGATACCTTTGCGTAATCTTTCAAATCAAAAGCCTGGGCGACCCACATGTTGGACAAACTGTCTAGAAATATCTGCTGTAAACTTCGGCACTTTGTAGTATTCTCTTCCGTTTCTTGCGGCAGAGGAAACGCCGGACAAACTAATTATGGCATGGCCAATTCCATCATGGAAAGAGGGTGCGAGGAAAG